AAAAAAAAAAAAAAAAAAGTTTTATAAAGGAAATTGGATACTTCTAACAGAATCAACTCTTTTTCTAATGATCTAGGAGCTCAATGCCTGAGAATGTCTTAAGTATCTTTTTTTTTTTTTCAATCAAGGAAGTTAAAATGAAGCTGCCATCCAGATTTGAAGTAAAATTCAGCCATTCGTTCATTCAGTTAACATATTTTTGAGTACCTGCTATGTCCCAAGCATAGTCCCAAGAAACGGGGAGACAGGAGTTTGGGAACTAGACACAGACTGAGTATGGAACCTACATGTGGAGAGAGGTTATAGTGAGGATATGCTTTCTTTGTAGAGTCTGAGATTCTGCCCTGGCAAGCCCAGCTTGTATTTTTCATAAATCCTGTTCCTTGAGCTACCTCATTCCAAATAATGACGACATTGTGAGATGCTAGCACGTTAGCCTTGTAAGGAACCCCAGAGACCATTTAATTTACTGGCCTGATACTACAAAGAAAGAAGCTCAGAGAGTTTAAGTGGCTTACAGATCCCATGTCTCATCTATTTTTTTTCCGAAAATACTAGTACGAAAAATTTCAAACAATCACAAAGTGGTAAGAATTTAGAGTGAGCACCCATGTACCCAGAACTAATGTTCATTATGTGTATGAGTGTGTGTATGTTTTTAAATAAAGTTCTCTTGGGCTTTGTTTTTTTTTTTTTTTAATATTTTTAAAATGTTTATTTTTGAGAGAGAGAGACAGAATGTGAGCAGGGGAGGGACAGAGAGGGAGGCACAGAATCCAAAGCAGGCTTCAGGCTCTGAGCTGTCGCACAGAACTCAACGCGGGGCTCAAACTCAAGCTATGAGATGATGACCTCAACCGAAGTCGGCCGCTCAACTGACAGAGCCACCCGGGTTCCCCATCTTGGGCTTTGTTGATTGTAATCTTGAAAAATTATCATATGGTACACTAAAGGGTAGGTTTATTTTTATGGTTGAAGTCACTTAATATTTTTCTTCTCACTTTATTAACATAACAAAAGGAAACTCAAGGTCAGAGGAAGCAGACAAAAGTCCTAGATTTATAATAAATGTTTCAGTTTAATATTGGACTTAGTTGAATGTTTGAGCAACTCTTTTATGCAGGAAACAGGCTAGGTGGTTTTAGAAATATAAATAGGGGCGCCTGGGTGGCTCAGTCGGTTGAGCATCTGACTCTTGATTTCAGCTCAGGTCATGGTCTCGCGGTTTGTGGGATCAAACCTGCTGTCGGGCTCCACACTGATGGTGCACAGAGCCTGCTTCTGATTCTCTCTTTTCCTCTCTGTCTGCTCCTCCCCAGCTCATGCTCTCTCTCTCAAAATAAAAACTTTAAAAAAAGAAATATAAAGTAATGTAAGTTATGGTTTCCAGTTTGGGAGATCCTACCATCTACAGAGAGACAAGAAATCCATAAGCTGATTTGCAGTTAAGTAAATAGGACAAGAAAACATGCAGTGTCAAATAACTGATATTAGAATATTCCTACCGTTGATACTTCACCCATAAGATTTATGTTTCTAAATACTTTAATATTTTTCTTACATTTCAAATGTTTTCATGCACTGGGTAGGTCAGGTCTGTGAGAATGAGAAAGTGTAATTTTGAGGAGTAGCAGATAGGGAGGCTGGAGGTAGATAACGAAAGACTGAACTGAAGAACCAACTTTGTCTCATGGGTGTCTAAGAACCAATGAGTGATTCTGAATAGAGGAGGAGCTGCCATCATTCAGTGGTCTCTGAGCTTTGTGAGTTGTATGCTGGTGGTATCTGAGGAAGGACTAGTGGTTATGTGGGGGAGGGTTTGGAAGGGGGGTCTTTAGTTAGGGAAGTCAGTTAGAAGGAAGTTGCAAATGGCCTGGTGTGAGATTGTGACATGGTAAGGGTAGCACTTGGGTCGTGGAATAGAAGGAATGGCTATGAGAAATTGCAATGCAAAAGTGTGTGTGTGTGTGTGTGTGTGTGTGTGTGCTGAATAGACATGCGAGATGCAAGGGGAGAGAGGAGAAAAGACAACCAGTGGTGGGCTCCAACTGCTTGCAGCTGCTCAGGAGAGTAGGTTACGTGCTTCTCTTCCCATCTCATTTCCGTCTTGAGTGACAGCACATTTGTAGCTTGAAATCAACCACAGTAGATGGACTTACACCTCCAAAAACGGCTAACACTACAATTCAGGGCATCTTATTTTTCCAGAAAGTCAATATCCCTGCACACCATGGGGTGAACCACAATTTTGAAGGTGACTGTTGATCCAGTAGAGATTCTGGAGAAGATACCTGGGTAGGACCTGTTGAGATTATAGTAACAACTCCAACAGTCTGACCATGTGGGTACATTCCATCTGTAAATGCCATTTACTATCCTTTTGGTAGAGACTATAAAAATGTTGTTCAGTGAATTCTACTACGTTGTTTTAGAGTCGAAACGATAGGTGGAATGCTCTGAAGACATATGTTTTGCTTATTAGTGTCACTTCATTACAGATACCTTGAAAACTCCCTTATCTTTTCAGTAAAAATGTGTGCCGTAATAATAGTTTCTTATGGGTCAAAGAGTAGCTAAGCCACGAAACAAAATAATAATTTAACTGTGAATTCATGTTAATATGAGTTCCCGTTATCAGGGAGAACTGGGGAAGGAATTGTGTGCTGTGACGCCAGATGGAAAGCGGAGTCGGGTTTTGGGTTTTCACAAATGTCATCTCTTACCCTGAACTCTTACGGTGGAAGATCTTTTACTTCCTTCTTTTAAAAATGGAAACAATTTAGCTATTCAGCAGAGGTTTGTAAGATAAATCAGGAAGCATCGGTAGAGCACAATCCGTGGGCAGGAGGTGTTTAGTGTGAAAAGATGTGAGCGATCTATTCAGTGAAACTACATGGCAAAACAGCATTGCCCCATGATCCCAATTTTGTGTTAAAAAAAATGCTCTCTCTACCTATTCAAAGGCTGGGGGAGCAAAATGTTTCAAAGAGCTACTTCTGTTTGGTGGGTTTACAGGTTGCTATTTGTTTATTCCTGTTGTGTACCTGTTTGTGCTGCACAATCACTAGAGCTAAGAAAAACATCTTAACAAAATAAGAAAAGATGCATCCTCATTATGCCCAGCTGAATGCAGTGTGATAAGTAACTTGACGATTTACGTTTTTTACAGGGTATCCCTGGAGCAAAGGGGGAACGAGGAGAAAGAGTAAGTACCCTCCGGCTCTGTTTATCACGCACAGCTGGCTGCACATCTTTCATCACCAAAGCCTGATAAAGGATGACCATTTATACTGTCATGAATATTCATTGCTCTTATTTCATTCCCTCTCTCCTCGCTCTCCTCAACTCATTGGACTGTGAGCACATTGTCAGGTGGAAAAACACCCTGTGGGCTAAAAGTCAGGAGAGCAGGTTTCTAGTTGTGTATCTGCTGCCATTCAGCTAAATGACCTCAGGCCCATTTCTTTAAGGATCAGAGGGAGAGAATCAAACTCCTCTGAACTCCAGAGTGAATTTGAGGACAGACTTATACAATGGATGTAAAAAGGCATCAGAGAAACAAAAGCCCTGTACATTTGCCAAGTAGTAGAAATGGGGCGTGTGTCTTGCCTGATGGGCCAATATTAACAGCCAATGGCAGACATACATCAACGAACTGGCTGTGTCATGTAAGTCAGTTTGTTTTAGGGACCTTCTCTCCCTTTTGAGAAACTGTGCAGCTGCTGATAGAATTGTGCTGTCGCCTGATAGAACTGGGCTGGGTAGTAGAAACAGCAGCGGCTTTGGGCTCATCCAGTCAGTTACCTTTGTGAAACTTTGGGCAACGTGTTTAACTCTGTTCATCTATAAAATGGGTTTAATGTCTTTCCTTTGAGTTGTTATTGATAGTAAATAAGCCACGGCCTGAGAAAGTGCTATATTTTATAGGCTCTAAATAACTATAAAGGAGGCATTAAATACATATTTCAAAACTTAAATTTTTTAGAATCTGGGAACAGAAATACGTACTTGGGCCTTTACATTTAATATAGACTCCCAGGAACCTGACACCATGAGTGTCAAATTCCATGACCTTCTCTGCACATGGTGGTCAATCCTATCTGTCGCGGGAGCCACAGGGACCAGGCGGGAACAGCTAATGAAGCCAGGTCTGCATCCTGGAAGTATCGCCATGCAGCTGGGCTTGGGCCTGAGAGTCAGGAAGATGCTTCTTTTTCATCCAGGGCGATCTGCAGTCTCAGGCCATGGTCCGAGCAGTGGCGCGTCAGGTGTGCGAGCAGCTGATCCAAAGTAAGTGCGTGACACGGGGCGCCTGGGTGGCTCAGTCGGTTAAGTGGCCGACTTCAGCTCGGGTCATGATCTCACCGTCGGTGAGTTCGAGCCCCGCGTCAGGCTCTGTGCTGACCGCTCAGAGCCTGGAGCCTGTTTCAGATTCTGTGTCTCCCTCTCTCTGACCCTCCCCTGTTAATGCTCTGTCTCTCTCACTCTCTCAAAAATAAATAAACATTAAAAAAAATAAATAAATAAATAAAAAAAACAAAGTAAGTGCATGACAGTTTCGGATATTGTTCTCTGTGGTTCGTCCAGATGGGAATCTGCCCCTCCCAAGAGTTAGTGACTCAAGAGAACACCTCCAAAGCTTTGTCTTGGTGCAGATGGGTAAGCTTTACAGATGGCCATAACTAACCCATTACAGAAGTCATTACAGATCACCCTTGAGTTCTGTGTCGATGTCACAGATACCTAATTCCTCTGTGGCATCTGTCCAAGAGCTCTCCTTTTGCCCATATAGATCTAACTTGACTGCCCCGATCAGATCTTTTGTTCTCTCTTCATCTTCAAGTGGATAGATTTTTTTTCCTCAAGTACTCAGCACTTGAAATCTGCCAGACGAAGGAATCCGAAGCTGCTTTCAAAGAGATGATTCATGGTGTTGATTTCTATCAACTCGCTAGATTTAAATCAATACCTCCTTTTTGTCCTTTTCTTTGGACTGGCCTAAGGCCCTTCACTTTATTCTGTAACATTTATGTAAATACAACATAATAATGCCCCTACACGCACACAGGGGCGGCCTTCACGTGACATTTTTGACAAGACACTGGTGCTCATGCCAAAAATTACACTGGAACATGCTTTATGTGACACCCAACTTTCCCACAGCACAGTATTCCAATTACTGATTCGTGTTCATTCACTTGTATATCTACCCGTTTTGTGTTTCTCCCAGGCCCTCTGACGTTTTGTCTGAATAATCTAACCAGAGGGTTACTAGTGTGGGCCCTTCCTTTTGCCAATGATTTGTTCGATTCCAGGAATATCTAAAGCCTTGTAGAGACGAAATATTCAAACCCAGCCATCTCTGGCTTAGCTCTAGCTGTGAAGCCCCCTACTCTGGTAGCACACGCCCCTCCCATGGGCTGAGTGGCTGCCTCAGCTCTGAAAGGTTCCATTTTTTTTTTTGACCCAAGGACGTCTAGGAGTCTCATAAGCATCCAGATAGGCCTTTTGGCTGGTAGCAGATATCCCAAATTCCATCTGTAGTAGAGAAACCCAGACCTCATCTTTGGGAAGGCATGGAGTTACTGTCCACACCATCTTGGGAGCGTTTTCACTAAGACATAAATCATGCAGACCATGTACAAAGCTACAGTCTTCAGGCATAGGAGTAATGCTTCCTATATTTTAACTTTATTTCATTTTATACATTGCCCAAACTAAATGTGTGTGTGAGAGAGAGGGTTTACCAGTTTTATTTTTTTTTATTTAAGTTTATTTATTCTGAGAGAGAGAGGGAGAGGGAGAGACAGAGAGTGTGTGTGTGGAAGGGGCAGAGAGGGAGGGAGAGAAAGGGAATCCCAAGCAGGCTCTGCACTGTCAGCACAGAGCCCAATGTGGGACTCGAACGCACAAACCGTGAGATCATGACCTGAGTGGAGATCAAGAGTCAGATGCTTAGCCGACTGAGCCACCCAGACGCCCTGAGAATTTACTAGTTTTAAACGAAACTATTAAAGTTTAATGCCACAATAAGATCATTAAAAAATTAGTAAATTATAAAAGCTAAATGGAACATTAAGTGGAATATGTCCAAAGCTAACCTGTACCTTGGATTATCTTGTAGGTTTCTCATTTCAAGTAAATGAAAGTAAATGAGCAGGTAATTATTTTAAGGAAGCCTAAGGGTTAAATCCAAATAGGACTCACTGACCACAAAATGTGGAAGATTTCACAATAGTTGTTGTCATATTCCACGGTAGAATAAAAATCTTTTAAAAGTATATGATTATTTAAGACGTGCCCTACAAACTCAGAGTTCAAAATGGAGTTTTTTCCCTCAGGAAATCTCAGATTCTTGTGAATGACTTGGAGGAAATGAAAGCCAGCAGGGAGTTCTACAAGAAAGCTGAAATGAGCCCGTAGAATAGGGAGGCCCTGCCTGTGAGTGCCATTGTGAGAGAAGAAATAGAAAAGATTGCGTGCAGCTTTATGAGCAAGCCCCGATCTGCCCAGAGGCTGTTTCTGGCACCTCAGCCATCTTCCCACATCCTGCCTCAGGTCCTTCCCACGTGCCGCCTCAGGTTCCTCTGGGCTCCTTACTTCATGGCTTAGGTTTCTGCTCAGAACTTCATTCATCAGTTAGCTTCTAAGTATAATAAAACCATGAGTTATCTGGTTTTTGGTCCAGAGCTGATCAGAAGAATGACTCGAGGAAAGGTTATGTGGGGAACTGTGTGAGGTCAAAGTGATGACAGGTAGAGAAAGTGATGAAGGATGGCCCCTTGTCAAAAGAGAAAGGTGGAAAAGCACACGCCTACAGGTGGCCCCTGAGTCACCAGGAAGCCAATCCTAGTTGCGGTCATGGTCCTATGCTTAGGAATGTATTGAATGTATTCTAGAAATAATCCCTCTAAAAATGGTTACTATTCTTTATTTAGATTTGAATGTTTGGAAAGGGTGAGATTTTCATCTAGGAAATTCACTTATGTGGGAAATCTTACCTTCTGATGTTACCGGAAAACTGAATGAAGCATTATGGTAGCAAGCTCTTTATCAATCTATACTTCTGAATATTAAGATACATTCTTCCAGGGGCGCCCAACTCTTGATTTTGGCTCAGGTCATGATCTCGCGGTTCATAGGTTCGAGCCCCACATGGGCCTCTGCGCTGACAGGACGGAGCCCGCTTAGGATTCTTTCTCTCTCCCTCTCTCCCTGCCTCTCCCTCATTCACGCTCACTCACTTGCTCTCAAAATAAATAAATAAACTTAAAAATAAATAAAATAAAATACATTCTTCCAGCCATAACTGAGTTAAGGGATTATAGGAGAGAGCGCCAGATTTTCTTTCTTTTTTTTAATAAAGCTCGTGGGAGTTTCTGCAGCTGGGACCCAAGTAAAGGCTCCTTGGCGACGAAGAGACGAATTGAAACAGAACACTTGTCTGGGGATTTGTGAGCAAGAGGGTGGAGCAGTCTTTGTGGGTTTGGAAAAAAGGCAAATAAATTGGTGGGGTTGTTGCTAGAGAAAAGGGGCAGCTGGGTGAGGGTTTGGGGGTCAGATAAATGTAGGGGGCGAAGATCAAATTTATGACTTCTGCCCATTGATGTTTACTGGGATGCTGATGTGAGCTGTAGGATTCCAAACTATTGAGATGTGTCTTGAATACAGTCCAGCTGTTCATATCATCCAGAGTAAAATGTAATAATTTTTAACTTGGAAAGCAACATATTTCAGAGGGGTGTGCTTTTCCTCTTGTGGTTATCTGACAGAATTGTTTGGAACCTTGACAAATAAAACCGCTTGTCTCCCCTTTCTGTGTGTGACAGTTCATTGAATGTTGTCTTTGCCCTTTGTGTCTCAGGTCACATGGCCAGGTACACAGCCATCCTCAACCAGATTCCCAGCCACTCCTCATCAGTGCGGACCATCCAGGGGCCTCCCGGGGAGCCTGGCAGACCAGGCTCACCTGGAGCCCCTGGTGAACAAGGGCCCCCCGGGACCCCAGGTTTCCCAGGAAATGCAGGTGTGCCAGGGACCCCAGGAGAACGAGGTAAGCTGGGGCACCTCTCTCGTTGGAACACCACTGAGGCGTGTACAGTGAAGCAGAGTGGAACAGTGGTGCTCATGCAATGACGAAGTCCAAAATAATGAATGTAAATTCGTTTCACCCCATCTATTCTCTAGTTTCTTATTTATCCATCTCCAAGATTGAGAAATTGAGTAATCTACAAAGCATTTCATCAAAAGCCATGTCTGCTCGTATGAAAAAGGAGGATCAGGACCCTCAACTCACCTCTAAGAGGCTTTTGAGCTAATGAGAGGAAGGTATCCCCTGTTAGATGGAGGAATTAAGAACAGGTGCCCCTTCCAGGTAGAAGAATTAGAAAATGGTGCCCTCCTCTGATGTGGCATCACACATATGTCATGCTAAGCCAAGAGCTCACTTCGTAGGTCTGGTGCCTTTTTTGTGCAGTGCCCATACTGGGCAACAGTTGGTGGCAGCCCTCAAGTGAGTCATGAGTCATATCGACCTATGATTTATGTATGTCTATGTAGACCATGCCAACTATAAACTTCGGATGAAAATACTGTTTGTGGTACCTCTTTCTATAATATAAGGCAGCATTTTATTTAATAGTTTCATGGGCCAATGTTTTGTCTTTCCTACTAAAGTTTCTTGAAAATAGAAATACTACTTAGCCTTTGCTGTTATCCTCTACAGGTTTTAGCAGTGTCGTGTAATACAATAATAAGACTGGCTGAATTTCACCCAACTCTATAATTGGCCAAGGTCTCCCACTCCGGAAGCAGATTAAAGAGATGTGGGAAATCGGGGTTCCATATTAACCACAAAGAAAGCAATGGGGAGAAAGACAACCGATACAAGTATTTTCTAAGACACAATTTTATAGAATGTGGGTCTGGGGAAGAGCTAAGTATTATCTGTTTGCCCTGTGAATCCTACTACTTTTGTGAGATGGATAGGATATATTCCTTTTGTAACATCGGAGATGTAAAATGCGGATGACAAAGGTGATACTTTATGTTCATTCTTGATCCGTGCCAACAGGCCACGTGCGTTCTGCCTCTGCGCTTTCGTACGCATTGCCCCCCCCCCTTTGGAAATGTCCTTTTCTTTGCCTGTCTTGTGCGTGTCTTACTCTTAGCTCAGGGCCCAACTTCCCTTCTGTTTCAGGAATGAGGTTGTTGTCGATCACCCCAGACCACAAACGGCTTCACCCCCTGAGCACCTGCCACACCAACTGTCTCTCCCACCCATTTGAGCACTCATCAGGGGTGGGTGAACAGCTAGACTGCCAAGACAGGGTCAGGTCTGAATTGTATTGCACACTCAGTAGCTGTTGCTCTAATGGGAACCCAGCTCTGGTTTTCCTTTCTGAAGGTTTTTCCTGGGCCAGGGCACTAAATCAGCACATGTAGAGAGAGGCATAATTCCCTCACAGCACATGGAAGACCTGGCAGCTAGGAAGGTGGCCACCTCTGTCAGCCGGGCACCCTCTAACGGTGTCGGTGATGGATCACCTGTGACTCAGGGGGCACAGGGCCAGCGCCTGAGTCACTCCCAGCAAGTCACAAGTTGTGTTTGTTCTTTTTGGAAGTCCTGTTCTTGTTCTTGCCAGACTGAGTCTCTCCTGCCCTGCAAGAGGACGCGAATGCTTAGACTGGAGGAAAATCATCCAGGAATTCTCAGTGACCCAGACAAACTTCGAAATAAGAATTTCCATGATATAATTTTCCTACCTACCTATAGCTGTACAGGTATTCCTAAAGAGTGTAGAAGACAAAGCAAAATCCTGTCCTGCAATTCAGGAGGATGCTGAATTGCATCAGGAGGATGCTGTGGAGGATGACAGTAGCACAAGAAAGTGAGAAATGCCCTTTGCACATGAGGGAAAGTGATTTTGGCTTATTACCAATTGAGGGGAATGGTTTGGGGCTTAAGGTTAGGGTTTATTGACCAACGCCTAAGGACTTTTTATTCCTAGCAAAGTATTTCAGTCCCGTGGCGCTCGGGATTTGTTGCTGCAAGGAAGAGAGTGATTTTTTTTTTTTTTTTTTTTTTTTTTATCTTGTGGTCCAAATGCCCAGAAAGTATTGAGAGAGACAAGTATCTACTTTTCCACTAAATCAAAACAATAGAATTTTAAAACTGAAGACACTTCAGCCATCATTTCTCCTAACACTCTCATTTTGTGTAAAACAAAACATACGAAGATATTGAAGCCCAAAGAGTCTTGAAATCAGCCAACATCAGGACTAGAGAGAAAACCCAGACATCATGGAATTTCTTTGTTGTTGTTATTGTTCCTTGCTATATAAAATATGATTATCATGGTACTCCCTATAATGTAATTTTAAAAGGACACTATGTTATAGTAAGTAAAAATGAGTATTGTTACTCAGGAGTGTATTTAGCCAAATACTGAGCTACAAAAGCAAGGCAAAAAGCACGATGCAGTATGTACGTGCACGTGTATGCATGCACACATGTGTAACTGAGGCAAAAAGAAATACTACTGACCCTCACTATCATTTCTGTTCTCTTCTAGTGTTAAAAGGCCAAGGGGCAACCTTGGATTTTATGTCCTCTTCGAAATACACTGTTCTAGTACAAACGTGTACTTTGATTAATCCAATCATTATCATTGAACTAGCCAAAGAGTGTGCATTTTGGAAAACAGAAAAGAAGTGACACTCTCCCCATATTTGCAGTGTAGACATTGTTCATGACTTTCCTGACATTTCCATCACCTAACAGACGCCTATGTTTTGCCTCCATTTGAATAGCTACCTCCCTCTCATTAACCCTTTGTCTCCTTTAACTTAAACAAATCATTTTTCATGAGTTTGTGTGGAGCAGTCTTTTTAGCTACGTTCTCACATGGATCGCAATATATACGGAATCCTTAGAGTTTAAGGATTCATTCGAAGGATTCCTGCAGCTCCCATTGTTCTCTAAAGCTTGACTCCAACTCAGGCTTGTCTAATTATTAGTACCCAGAAGTGAAGAGGTCCCATTTCCATAGCATAAGCAAAATGTCATGTAGCCCAATTTCTCACCCGCTTTTCTCTTCTTGTCACTGGCACTACATGGCTCATTGGCAGCAAAGAAAAGCTATCCCTCCATTGGCTACGGTTTTGTGGCTTCTCCCCATTAAACGCTGTGCTGTCTTCAGGTAAATGGCTCTGTACCCTGGCTTCCAAAGTTCACCAGAGCTCTACAGTTCCCCGTTCGTCCCCAGAACTGAAACAACAGCATCCTGACTTTTCTGACGTGAACTCACTCTCCAGTCACAGCCTTGCTTCTAACTAGACCCCTAGATCATCTCTCCAGTGCTAGTTCTGATCTTGGTGTACCATTCCCAGAGGATGCACCTGTTACTTCCTCATTCCATTTAGTTAAATAATGTTCATATTCCATGTTGGTGTCTCGAACCATATATTAACCCAAGTCAAAAGTAAGTTCGTTGGTCTGTAGTTGGCAAAATTAAATTTCTTTATTTGAAAAGAACTGGGAGCGTTTTCTGATTTCGGTCTTTAGGCTTCAGTTTGTGTCATTACCCAGAAAGTATTGGATCACAGGAATCATCCAACTGAAGATTTTCATGTTCAGGTTGTACACCCGTAAAGCCGGAATTTAATCTGGTTTATTTGGTACAATAAATCAGTAAACATTTATTGAATGCAGGGTTCACATAAGGCTTTTGGCTTGACAGTGTGTGAGATAATACTATTATTTACGGCTTTCACTTATTAGGCACTAAACGTATCTGCCAATGTTGTGCTTATACTATATACACAGTCTCTCATTTGGATAAAATAGAAGACATGGTTTGGGTAAGGAAGGAACGCGGAACATTAGTGGATGCGCCAGTTAGGAGAGTAGATAGATGCTAAGTGAGTACATGCTGTCAGAGTTTAGAGGAAGACATCACGCAGCCTTTGAAAAGAAAAGGTGCCAGCACTGATTAAGCAACTACTGTTGTGGAGCGACTGTTAGCTGCTTCGCGACTTATTAGTGCTCATAGAAGTCTTACGAGGTCAGTATTAGCTCCATTTTTAAGTGGGGAAACAGAGGCTTAGCTAGTTTGTCAGTTGTCTGAGGTCACACCGCTGGACAGGGGGGACTAGAATTCAAGTGCACATCCGCATGGTTCCAGATTATCTGTGCTTGCACCTTTCCACCCTCTTGCCACCTTTGAGTTCATTGTGTAGCGGGGGAATCACGTGGGAGAGGCCAGAACCGTGCAGCGTCTGGTGGACCCCTGTTTCCCGATGGCTTCTAATCACCACAGTTCACAGCTCAGTTCACAAAAACCAGTCAACTGCCAGACTGACCAGAAGGCAGAAGCGGGTCATGGTTGTACTATTTGCAAGCTCTTTGCACACTCCGTTCTGTATTTGGAGAGCCTTGGGACACCCGTGACCCAGCAAGTGACCAGCTTGGAGGTGAAGCCAGGTGATTTGTAGGATAAATATGAATGTGAATAAATTATTTTCCATGATTATACATTTTGACACTTGAGGAGTTTTTCTAGGATTTTAACATGTTCCCAGGCTATATAAGAATCCAAATAGGGAAATTGCCTGAAGGAAAACTAGCCATGGGTCTGGCAATAGAATTATACTTCTATTATAACTTCTCACCCTAGGGGACATAGAGGAGAAACCTGGAGCAAGGCAATTCAGTCTTGTTTCACTTGTGATATTTTAGGTGAGACACCGATTTCACTTCACTATTTGTGATGCTGCTTTAGCCAGAAACAGGTGATGAGATGTGGTTTGGGGCATCAATCATATATATGTCAGGATCTGAGCTTTGCCACTTGCTACCCGTGTAAGCTTGGCTGCTTAGTCGTACAACTTGATTGTTTGGGGATCTTTATTCATTCATCTAACCAGCATTTACTGAGCATCTACACCACATCAGGCATGGTGCTGGGTGTTAATGACATAGTGGTTAACCGGGCTTATATTTCCTACCTTTCATGTACCTAACATGGAGACAGATATTAAAGAGACTAATAA